CAATCATTATCTATTCAGAATTTGTTCTGTCGCCAAGAGTGACGTCTATGTTGTTATTGTCGTTTACTAGTTTGTTTACTTCCTGTTTCTTTGTTCTTGATAACAATCATTAGCAAGGAATTAGCACTAAACTCTCATTTGTTCATTATTTCCGCACTGCTCATGCAACTGAGCACTTCAAGAAGAAGAAATGAATGAGTAATTCTTCAGTCGACATTCGAGAATGTTTTTTTCCAGTGAACACGTATCGTTTCAGCGCATGCGACGTTTGTTGTCAGTCCGTGCCACAACAATTCTCACAGCAGCGAAAACTAATAACAAGTTTTTTTCAAATTTTCAACTGTACTGTGGCAAATAGAAGTGATATATGGCCCTCGTTATTCGTCAGTCACAGATCACCGATTAGCCCTTTTGCCTCAAACAGAGTGCCAAAAAGGTTCAAAGGTCATATGCGACTAACCATTAAATACCTCGATCCTTCTTTTTTTAAGCTCCAGATTTCAGCCTTCTCCCTCTTCACATCTATTTTCTATCTGATTGATCTACCTGACTTTTGTTATCATACTTTAATATAATTCATGAACTCAACTGTTCGTGATTAAGAAATCCTGCATGGATGTGCTTGTAGTTTCACAAAAGGTTTCTGTCATTTCCATGTTAAGAAACGGGTTTCAAAAAGAATATGTCTGCCATTTTTCTCTTACAATAAAAACACTGTATTCTTTTAATTGACAAGCTTTATTTTGAATAACAGCCCGTAGGCAACTTGGGGGTGAATTGGAGACTACTAGGTTAGCGTTTATAGTTGCCCGGGTGCCGGCACAATGCTGGCCGCGGAACAGGACGCCGCGAGACGCCGGAAATTTCTTCTCGTTTGATTCCTGTAGCTATGAACAAGGAGATATGAAAAGCTCGAAAAGCATGCTTCATCGAGTCATTTTGTGTTAGTGTGTGTACTACACTACACGGCACGCGCAACTTCACGACATGTAAGGTTGGAACTTGTCCATTCGATCTCTCCTTGTTTAATTGTCTCATTAATTCAATTGGATATGCATCAATGAATAGTACATATTTCTACAGTTCTTTACGATAGAAGGTTTCAGAGGAGTTACTGGTACGCGCGCGCATCGTCGATTGCCGCGCATAGTGCAATCTCAAATATTAGATTTGGTCTGCCTCTGGCACACAGGTAATGAACTTAGCACGCATTTCATCGCCTTGTACTTGAATTCGTAGTTGTGTTTGCCTTTCTCACGCCTTCGTACTGCCAATGTCACACATTATTGAAAGGAGTTTAGTTCCATGCGAAAAACACTTATCCGTGCGGTTTCAGAGTACAGCCAATTCTCCCACTCTTTGTGATAGATGTCACTGTAAATTACGTTGTAGATCCTACATTCCTCTGGGTGATAGAAATCTTAAAATAACTTCAAAGTATTTCCTCCACATAACCTTTAACATGATGCAATGTCCCCACAGCGCCCTTTTTAAAAGGACGCGTGAAATGACGCAGTTCTCTGTGACTGTAACCCAATTGCTGGGATGAAACTGCAAAAACGAGGACAGCATGTGCAACGATACGTGGCATTGATGCTTTCGTTCTGTTATTCTTATATATGTGCACATCATCCTCGGGCTATTCTACAGTATCCTACAGTCTGTGTCCGAGGCGCAAAGTTACTTACAAGTTACTGTTCAAAAATATGCAAGCGACTTCTTCTCACTTTTCGGCCCGCGAAAGAATTAAGAAGCATCTCAAAAAAATTTTCGCATCGGAGAAGTATTTATGTCGCGCGTCCCCCTCCCCTCCCCCCCCCCCCCCCTGAAAGGAAATCGTGGGTACGCCATTGATGACGAGGCATTTTGCCAACCTGACACAGTGACTCCCGCCTGTGGCCGGATCCTAAATTCATTGAGATTCTTTCTGAGCCGTATGATTGTTGGAAATGTAGAGCATGTCGCAGCTTATAAAATCCATATTTCGAATGCATGCCTATTGCAGTCTTATTGCAATTATTCAGCTGTCAAAAGCAAATAAAGACGGACGGCTGGCCTCTAGCAGTTTAGTTCGATTATGCCTTTCATTAACCCTTTCGGACCTGAGTTTTTGCGAGTGAGCCGAGAAGCCTCTCTCCTATTGTTTTTTACTTGTTACCATATGAATAACATTACAGCGGAGTTTGGAGTCTGCTCAACCTTATGAACTATTTCTTTTTGATTTTTCAATTTTTTGGTATTCCGTTTATTTTGGATTTTCAAATCTCCCGCGATACATGTGGACCCGCAAACAGTTAACAGTTACATTTGCTCAGCATCGTACTAAAACATTATGATAATATTATGAATATTTTTTGGCTAATAAACGAGATACTGAAACGGTGCTCAAGCCGGCGCAAATTATTGATTGGTTGAAATCCACTTGTTTACAGAAATGTACATGCTATTCACAGAGAAGCAAATGAACACCCGGTCTCGAAGCTACATTTGGAAGGCAAAGGCTATATGAAGCGTTTGAGAGCAATGAGTAGTGAAATGATGTTTTTGCGCCGGTACAGTAGATCTCTGAATTGATGGTGGCAATTGCCACCACCAGGTCCGAAAGGGTTAACTTTCACATTCAAAGACTGCTTTGCTCACAGTGTGTCCTAATTTGGAGAAACAGTTTTGTTGACTGCTCCAACCATTATATTCATATTCCCTTCTTAAAACCCAGATAATTCTGTAATCAGTGATAATCGCACGATTGTTCGAAATTTTTTTCTGAATTCTTTGATAAGATAGATGCAAGCGTTAGTGGATGACGAACAATGGTTCTAAAAATAGTATGATCTGGTGAAATAGAGCAATACATGATACAAAAGAAGCAAAAAGCAAACAAATGTCATCTTGCACGACTGGTGCCATAGCAAGATGACATCTGCGCAGAAAATCTGTTCTGTGGATTGGAAATGGCCATTTTGCTAAGTCAAACAAGGTACGGGAGAAAGGAGGAGAGCTAATATAAAGACATCCATGAACATACCTGGACCAGCCCCTAGCACTACTGCTGAGACCGCTATATCGCATAATTAACAGCAAGACTTACCACGCAGACGACTCCCGAGTCAATCAAGTAGCTTGTAAGCATTCTATGGTATTTATAACGATCACAGAAGTTGCAGCAGATTAACAAGGGGAAGGGACTATTTTCTGAGTAAGGAAGGATTGGAGCCTTTTTACGTGAAAGCACTGTTATGAATATCTAGTGAATTTTCCAGTTGATATCCGCTTCACAGCATCACAACATCTGTGTGCGAAAAATAGCTATTTTTGAAAATGATGAAAAAGAGAAACCAATAAAAATGACCTTCTCAAGTTCTGTACCCCAAAGCAATTTTTTTGCAAAAAGTTGCCGGCAACGCAATAATAATGATCATTCGTTGAATCTAGCAGGCTATAACAGCTTTATATGCGCGCTGAATTAAGTAGAAATGTGAATATTCGCTCTAAATAAGCAGTTATATAAGAGTTGAGACTCGAAAATCAATTAGTAATCGTTGAAAAGAACTGCCCCAATTTACAGGCATTGCGCAAGATATGAATCGCAAGACGCTTGACCTTCAACAAAGCGTTAGTGGATAGTAAGCAATCAGATCGTGCCCTAATTAAGATTATGCAGTCGAGAACGTCAACAAACAAAAAGTTTCCCAACATGGCTTAGGTTATCTGCCTAAGAAGCATTTTTTTAGTTCATCAGACAACATTTCAAATCTATAACATAGACTTTCAGGCATTTCCCAGCTAATCAAACTAAGTTTGAAAAACCTTTGTAACGTGCCTGTTAGTGAAGACCGGGACATTGTCGAAATTCACGTCAAGTCAGAGCTTTTGAACTAATGCCATACCATGTTTCGGACAGTATCTAGAAGTATCTAGAATGAACACTTGAAGCTCTCTGCTGATTCCCAGATTTGCAACACCTACAAACCCCGCAAAAGCACCATCAAAAGCCCCAGTCTCTTAACACACTCACGAAGAATTGGTCAATTCTCCCCTCCCCCCCCCCCCCGCTTCCTCCATCTTCCATTCTTTGCCCGCCGTGAAAGTGCAGTATGATCGCTCAGCAGTGTGTGACCGCCAACCGACAGCACATTTTTCACCCTAGCTCAATCGATTTTCCGATGAAAACTACGCTAACACACATAGCACGGGTGGGCATTTGGGTCGGATCAATAGTTTAGGGAATAAAAAGAAAACAACTTGATCCAATAATTAGTGTTACGATGAGCTGACGGCAGTCGTTGCTTACATGTCCTCGCAAGCCACGCACTCAGTTAGTTCAACCTTTTTGGGCTTTAGAACAGGCTCTCTTAGAAGGAGGAAGTTCCACACCTCAAAACACGGGTTCCGCGCAGCCGAGTGGACGCAAAGAAGTGAGCACAGCGTCAGAAAACGCCGATCGTCGCAAAACGCCGATTGCGAGCCGTTCGACAGCAGCCAGCGCATTCTTTTGCGTCTGCGCCTCCTAGGGCATCGTTTTGCGCCGCGCACTCTCTGCGCGGACTCTTCCTCTCTTTCCAACGACGCTCTGCGTCACGCACTCTCAGCCACGCCCCACCTCGGTGGCGCGCCGCTACTGGCCATTTCGCGCAATTGACCAATCACAGCCTGCCGCCTGTGCTGACGACTGCTATCACGCCAACTCGACAGCATATATGCCTAGTGGCGGACGCGCGTGCACCTCATTTCGGTTACTAATCAACTCATTCAGCACTCCTTGAACTTTCTAACCCATCAATAGTGTGCAACCTACTCATGCAGTTGTTTTTGCCCTAATCGGACTCTTGAAAATGGTCCACAGCACGACCTCGACCTATATACGAATTCCGTCTCGCATTTTCCAGACGTTTGTTCCATTTCCGAAGCGTTTACGTTCTACCGTTGACCATCACAAATGTTTACTATTTATGTGGATGATTTGACATGGTAATATGCATACAGTGCTCTCTTAAATCGCTTTTTCAGCACTTGGCGAAACGAAATCTTCCCGGAAATGAGGAGCTTGGTCGCACTGCTCCCGATCATCTGCTTTGTAGCAGCAGAGGTCTACTTCAAGGAGGAGTTCTTAGGTATAGTGTTGTTTTTTTGGCGAAGCTTTCCATTTGCTGAACTGCGTTGCAATAGGAGCTATTTAGCTAAGTTCTGTAGGGACATAAAATATAGTGAGCAGATGAGCATCAAGTGTCGATGGATGGCATGCTCGCATTTTTTAGTCTTGGAGTTTCTTATCCTGGAACTTTGTACCTGATCATGTCCAAACATTCTCATATTCAGTTTATAACGCAAGTGCAGCCATCTTGTTTTTTGGGAGTTTGCTTCATCTTTATTTTTAATTTTATGAGTATTGCTGAAAACGGTAACGAGGTAGGGGTAAAAAATCAACGACTCGAGCCCTAACCGAGCAGCAGTCATCGAAGATTCGTTGCTAATATGATACAAAGATCTCTCTCCTGCAGCACGAAGCTTTGAAAAGAGCAAAAGGCGATAATAAGGATTAGTGCTACTAACCTGGAACAATATCTTTTGTTGGCAGACTAAACAATAAATGTTGTCCGGGTTACACTGTCATTTTTTCCCTGTCGTATGGCGTATATTGTGGGGGTTACATATTTCCGAAATGACTAAAGACTAGTACAGCTTACATTCAGTCAAATCAATATGTGACACTCCGTCAGCATCAAGAATGTGGAGAGCACTGCTAGTGATCAGAAATGTTTGGTAAAAACTCATAGACTAAATGAACAGAGAGGCTCCCCTTCTCACTGAATCACGGAACGTGATGACGTAAGCTAGTTTTGTGAAAATCTCAGTAGTCGCTTAATGTTGATTGGTACGGAATCACTGCATCTTTCATCATACCATGCTATCTGGATTGCTCAGTAATCTCTTCCTGTTTGTAGTAGAGTCTGTCTAGAATCAGCATCTGTGTCTTGTATTATCAACAAAGCTGTTCAGATGACTCTTGGGAGGAAAGATGGGTGCAGTCAAAGCATAAGGATGATTATGGAGAGTTCAAATTGTCTGCTGGTAAATACTTTGATGACGAGAAGCGAGACCAAGGAATAAAGACTAGCCAGGATGCAAAATTCTACTCCCGTGCAGCCAAGTTCCCCAAAGTAATATACTGTTTATTACTTGGCTGATGATTTCAATCTTGATGCATTTATTCAGCCTTTCACGAACAAGGGCAAGACTGTTGTTATACAGTTCACGGTTAAGCACGAACAAGGAATTGATTGCGGCGGCGGCTACGTCAAGGTATGCTTTCGTTTTTTTCCAAAGACATCATTTGTATCATATGTGCAAGCCAGACGTGGAATGACATACAATGCAATTAGTTTATATTACCGTTATGTTGTCCTCAAGTGTACTGTTTCTTGCAATGGGCTCTTTTATTTCTGGTGTTGAGGCACTGAAAAGCAATTGAGATAATAACGACTTTATGTTTAGGTAATGAGCTCGGATGTTGATCTTACCGATTTCCATGGTGAGACTCCATACAATGTAATGTTTGGTCCCGATATCTGCGGTCCGACAAAGAAGGTTCATGCCATCCTCAGCTACAAGGGAAAGAATCACCTCATCAAAAAAGATATCCGATGCAAGGTGCGTTTTTGGTGGGAAACTTGAGGTCCATATATCCAGATTCGTGATGCATTTGTATATTATAGGATGACGAACTTACCCATCTGTACACCATGATACTGAATGCTGACAACACTTACGAAGTGCAAATTGATGGCGAGAAAGTCGAGAGTGGAGAACTCGAGGCAGACTGGGACCTCCTTCCAGCCAAGAAAATCAAGGATCCCGATGCGAAAAAACCCGAAGACTGGGATGAGAGAGAATACATCGATGATGCTGAGGACAAGAAGGTAAGGAGATGCGCCATGATTATTCTAATTACGATTTCAACCATTCCAGCCAGAAGACTGGGACAAGCCAGAGCACATCCCTGACCCAGATGCAAAGAAGCCCGACGATTGGGATGATGAAATGGATGGAGAATGGGAGCCCCCCATGATCGATAACCCTGAGTACAAGGGAGAGTGGAAGCCGAAGCAGATCAAAAATCCCGCCTACAAAGGAAAATGGATTCATCCTGAAATCGACAACCCAGAGTACACTCCTGATGATGAGCTCTACCTGTACAAAGATTGGGGAGCAATCGGTTTCGACCTTTGGCAAGTAAAATCTGGCACAATCTTTGACAACATAATTGTTACCGACTCCGTCGAAGAGGCTAAGGCTCATGCGGCAGAGACATTCGAGAAGTTGAAGACGGTCGAAAAGGAGAAGAAGGAGAAAGCCGACGAGGAAGAGAGGAAGAAGTTGGAAGAGGAAGCCAAGAAGAGAGAGGAAGAAGAGAAGAAAAAGAAGGAGGAGAAGGAAGAAGAAGAGAAAGAAGAGGAAGAAGAAAAGGCGGAAGAAGCTCACGAAGAATTATAAATTTTGCCAAGCTCCGTTGTTTCGGGTCGGGTGACCACTTTCACGATTTGTGGATTCTGGTCTCATTTCTAGCCCTTTTTGTTTGAGTTGTTGTTTTTTATTGATTATTATCATGTTTTGCTTCACCAATTCATAAGGTGTCGTGGTTGGGTTTGTTTTTATATGAGAGTATCTCGACACCCTGCCTCGTACTGCTTTCTCATTGGTTGAAATGTGTTATAATAAATTATTTATATGTACTAGAAATTTGAATACCGCCTTGCACTCCCTTTCTAATTTTTTTTTGATTTGTTGTGCACTATAGCAGTTGATTGTGTTCGAGAGCAAGAATACATTATCTCAAAGGTTTGTTGACTCTATCAGTTAAGATTTCCATTTTTGAGTTTGCTTTACGCTTTTCTAAAGGTATATTGTAGTCCAGCTTCTTTTCTAGAAGTTAGATTAGGAGCATTTTCGTGCCTACCGAGTAGTTGATGAATGTTTGAACGTTGAGAACGAGATGTGACAAGTCGTACAATAATGATACGAGAAAGTCTTTCCTCTCAAATTCAAAACAGTTTCTTTACATCTATAATATATGGCGGCATGAGTTGTGCATGTTAATATGTTTCGTAAGACCCACGCAGCATATGCAGACATATGATACTCGTTGATCAACGGTTAACGGATTGTCGAGAGTTTTGTAAATGCAGGCTGCTACTTCACTACGCTTACATATACATCGTAAAAATGTTTCCCTTCAGTCAGTCTCCGCGAAGTATCGCTTTTTCCTGCTTCCAGTATGCAAAACTCGTAGAAAAACAGCAACCTGAGTACCCTTTCGACCCCTCTGAAACTCGCTTTGGAGCTCAAATGTATGGCCTAGAGAGCGAAGCTGTATCGTTTTTCGCGCAATCCTCGAGAAAAGGTCAAAATGTAGACGTCTGCCCGATGATGAAAATCAGTTCAACAGATATCTCGAAGAAGTGAGAAAGCCACTCGCAAGAAACTTCGTCGTCATCGTTCTGCAGCTGGGTTCAATCGTTCGGGCCAAGTCATTGAGCTGGAAAGCTGTTCAGTGCTATATGACGGTTGGATAGCGGCGCTATCAAAAGCTCCTTGTAAAGGCACTGCAAGACAAAGGCGCAAAAGCGGTACTAGTTGAACGGGCGCGACGGTGACGCGCGCGTATCCTCATCGTTGTAAATCCGGCAGTCATGCGCTCTGCAGCTAATAAAGCCGCGTTCGCGTCAAAGATATTGCGCCTTCGTTATGCAGCAGCGTATAGGGATTACAGAGGTATAGGTCATTTATAAAACCGTGACGACGGATTTGACTGCGGCCACTTATGGATGTCCTACCACCCTCTTAATGGTAGATACCATCTAAAATGATAACTGAGCCTTGGACGTCCACAAAAACACCTTCTAACGCACATATTTATCTTTATTGCACCAAAACAAGATCAATGTCAATAACCCGGAAAACAACACCAATAGAACAAACAAGAGCAAGGAGATCTGAGCCCATAGACGAGGTGACAATCCACGAACTACGATAATATTTACGTTTGTGTGTGTGTCTTGTCTGGATCTCTGTCTGTCACGACATTCATAGAGCGCGTTCCTGCCAACGTAATGAGCCCAAATTTTGCATAGCGCATGCTACCAGCTTGAAGGTTTACCACATAAAAGCACTTGAGTGGGTCCCTCGAAGACTGCGCTTCACACAGTTCCACTTTGCTTGCGGTTAGTAAAAATGGGTCCATAGGTCCATAGTACCACTTTCTGCGTTATGATATGTTTGACAAGCTACAGTGCAAGCCGTAGACTTTAGCTCAAAAAGAAATCAAAAGTTCATTACTTTACGAAACGGCGCCAAAACGAATTAGTTGCTAAACGGCCAAGCTAAGATTTTCTAGGCACTTGTGAAGATTTCTGCATATAGATGTAGCTCACGGTGATTATTGTCCTTATGGCCAATACTAAGCCAAAAAAAATTTCAAAAACCGTCTCAAATGCTATTGCTCTTCTGTAAAAAGTTTTAACCACGCGGAATTACCGATCCTACAGGAAACCTTTCGAAATGAATAGTTGTTTATAAGTCATTCGTGATGAACGCCACTGGGTGAGTTTCAAGGCCATCGATTTGCGAGTATAGGGTAGAAGACGAGCAGAAGACGTGGATGATAGAGGCAGTGGGAGCCTCTGCGAAACAGAGGTGACGCACTGATTATACTGTAATCTATCAAAGTATCATTATGTCAGACGCCTTGCAATACTTATGAAGACGATGAGATGGCTATAGTCCACTGCACGAAATCGCCCAGGTCGCTCTAGGCTAACTCACGCGAGCGGCCTGCAGCGTGGCTGCCTAACATGGGCGCTATGATGACTCATGCGCGCGAATGCCAATGTCAGCCCGCAAGAGACAAGTTCGCGGGCGTTCAGTCCGGGCGATTCCGTGCAGTCAACTAGGGAGACGGTCAAATGGCACGTATTGATCGATTGTCGCTAATTAGAACGAAGCAAGAAGAAAGTGCAAAATTAATTTAATACTTTCGGATTCCGACTAATGATCCTCCATTGCACTTTCTGATATGATGGCAAAGCATTTGGACTTTGAAAACCTTGATTATGTAGAGTACCATTCTCTTCTGGCAATGACAGAAGGAGATTCTTTACAAACAGAGTCAGCGGCGATCTTGATAAATTGATGAGGAAGGGTATGCTCCCTTTCAAATTGTCTCAGTTCAAAATAGTGCTTGAGAACTATCTTCGTTCGCCATAGTTCCTTCATACAATTGATAGGCCTCTCTGATTTGTCGTGTTGATTTGTGTGATTCGTTCTGATTTGTTGTGTTGATTTGTTTTGTTGATTATACTTCATGTTTTGTTGAATGTAATATGCATAGGTATTCCCTACGCAATAAATAAAAATAAAAAAATGACGACTACCAGAACGCGCTTTCGACATACACCCAGTCAACTATACCTAGTACTTTAGTTAGAGAATATTCGTGTTCGAATAATTTGTTCGAAATATTCGACTATTCGAATATTCGAATAGTCGAATAAATGAAAAAGGCCTATATTCGAATAATTCGTTCATTCGATGATTTGGAAAAATGAGTTATTCGAATATTCGTTTATTCGAGGATTTTTAAAAGAGAGTTGATCGAATATTTGAATATTTGAGACAACTTGAAAAGCAGTCATTCAATCATTCGAATATTTAAGAACATTCATTCGAACATTCCATGTCAAAAAAAAGTTGCAGCTGTTCTACACTGAGTACAAGTATGTCCCGATCGGTCAATCACACAAATCTTATATATAAAGCTGATTGTCTGTTTGTCTGTATGTCTGTATGTCTGTATGTCTGTATGTCTGTATGTATGTACGTATGTTCCGAATAGAAAATTCCATTTCTGAACCGATCCGGACCAAACTTGGCACACATACACTTCGGGCCCCGGCGCGTGTCATAGGCTACTTTTCGTCATCGATCGATATCGATTTTATCGATCTTTATCTGTGCCGATAGAATCGGCACCTCTTTCACCTCCTCTGATGATTACCATGAAGGTCATGCATAAGCATGACCTGCTGTGATATGAGCACCGTCACTGCCCAAAATATGTTAACTTACTTTGCCACGCCTACAGTCTGCTCCAATCCTAACCAGGCCAAAATTGGCTTGGCGGGAGTGCGCGTCGCGAGGGTTTCGCGCCACTCCTGCGTCTAGCTAGTCTGCTCTCTCCTCAATCTCTTCGCTCTCCGCGACAGCGCGCGTATGCAGCGCAAGCCCCCAGTGCTGCGAGCGCGCAAATTCAGCCGAGGGTTCGGCCTGGTCCCGATTGGGGCAGACTGTATAATCGACAGCATTCTACTACTGCACTAATACGTGCACGTCGTCTGTTCATAAATCTACATCACATGTGTTCTGTATAACATTGGAGTCAATTACTCCCAATCAGGCGCTAATTCGCCTCGGGCCACAATACTGCCAAGGAACCACCGATACATTTGGTGCATCGGCTAAATCAGTAAGGCCGATAATATTCTACTTCGCTGCAAAATGATTCCACTTCTCCACATAGAAGAAGTGCGTGGATCTACCAAGGATCTCGCGAAACTAATGCAGAAGCACGCTTTCCACGGTAAGAAAAGCACATTTCCAGAAGATGAGCAGGAACGACAGAAGATGTGCGTCCACAAGCTGGACGTGCTGGCGATTTGTGTCAAGGAAATCAAAAGAGGAACACATTCGCTACAATCAAAAATCGATGCACTAGAGGAGCTCTACACAAGCGAGAGCTCGAAAGCGCTGAAGAAACTAATGCTGAAGGAACTGGAAGCATACGAGGAAGAGATAAGCTTTTTTCGTACTATTGGTGATGCTGAAACTTTCCTCTTCACCTTAAAAGATTATATGATGGAATGTGAGATACAACTAGCACTAATGAGGAACAGAAAGAATTTCGCTTCGTCACTGAGGAACAAAAACAAAGAACAAACTTCCGCCACAGATCAGTCGGCTAAAGAAGAGCCTAATGCTGATTCCAGGAGTGATTGCAGTGCTGAGAACAGCATAATATACGCTCAGGACAAAAAACAAAAGAAGTCCCCGGAACCAGCCATTCTAAACCTTGATGACGGCTACTGTGCGACGAAAATAGAAGCAAAAAATTCACCGCAGAGCAATTCGACAGAGGAAAAGACAAAAGGACGCAAAAAGTCGAATAGCAGTGATGATCGATGCAGTGAGAAGGTCTACTCTGCCCACAACGAGGAGCCTTTCCAGGTCATGACGCCCCTGGTAATAACCAGTGAACAGACAGCTGTCTCCAGAAATGAAAACAAGAAGATCGCTCCCATTGAAGATATTCCAGAGTTTAACTCCATGTTATTCTGTCATATTCAATTCAATAATCACATCCTCTCTATTGAAGTCTACTCTCTACAATCATTTGCCTATTGCCGGCGCCACGTCCGCTCATACTTCGCGGATCTCAACACAGTCAAAGCAATACGTGCCGGTCACCAGCGACCACTGCTCGATCCAGATAAGAAGAATTTACGAAAAGGAGTAAATTATTTGATGTGTTTTCGTCATGTGCTGTCTCTCTTTTCTGCTTCATGCCTGGCCGGCGGCAGTGTGCCGATA